GTCTGTGCAAGAAACTGAACAGTATTTATATCGTTTTTTACCTCTGATGCACTGCAATGTCTGAACTGTCCTGAGACAGTCGGCGCGTGACGCGTCTTCTTCTTCTTCTTGCTTTATGGCGGATGAGATAAACATCACATTTTCATTTTTGGGCGAACTATCCCTTTAAATTGTTAGGTCAACTTTAAAACACATGTAATCACCTTATTTGTTTTATACCAATGTTATTTGCAAGGTATAAATACGTTTGAGCTAATAAATGTCTGTAAGAACACCGGGGTGGACTACATTTTTGTCATTTTATTAGATTATGTACGTGGCGCAGCTGTGGCTGCAGTGAAAGGAGACTTGTTGAATTTTGTTAATTGGGTTTCTTTAGTAATGGCATTCATTCTTTCTACATGAGATACCTGTCTGTGATGCAACGTCCTGTTATATGCATTTCTGTATAATACTGATGGTTTCTATAGCCGTGGCATCATAATGATGGTATTAAGAGGTGGATTAATTCAGGTGTGAAATGCACGGCCTGCCACTGATTGTTATAAATTGCATTTTATACATTACATTATACTATACATTATTTTTTACATTTTATACATTATTCAGATTTGTAAATATCCTGATTTTATATATATATATATATATATATATACGTATATTAATTCATATAGACGTGATCAATCGTAAGCCATGCTGCTTTCTAGATACTGGTTTTGGAAGATTTGTGTTTATGTTGCTATCTGTGTGTTTTGAATGTATGCACATTTTAATATCAGACGTTTCTATATTGCTGCATGTATTATCTGTGCTGTTTTATTGTAGCATTATTTTAATCATTCCTGCATAACTGACAGATGTCTGCGTTTTCACTCTGTCCTCCACAGGAGTGTTTCATTCCGTTTGTGAACGGCAGTTTCTTCGAGCATGAAGGGCAGCCCTACTGTGAGGCTCATTACCACGAGCACCGCGGCTCCCTCTGCTCCGGCTGTCAGAAACCCATTACCGGCCGCTGCATCACCGCAATGGGCAAGAAGTTTCACCCCGAGCATTTCGTCTGCGCCTTCTGCCTTAAACAGCTGAACAAGGGCACATTCAAAGAGCAAAACGACAAACCCTACTGCCAAAACTGCTTTGTCAAGCTCTTCAGCTAGAGTCTGATAGTGTTGAGGAGAGTGTGTTTGAACATGCACGCCAATATCGAAAGTCCCAAGGGTCGAGTTTTACAGTTCGTCACAGTGTCATCTTGTGACGGTAGTGAGCATTACACCAGCTTGTTCCTGTGCCAAAGCACTGTCAGAGAAGTGTAGATCTTCAGGGAGGCTATGACGATTTTTAACAGCCTTTTTAAAATGCTTTCCCTGGATCTAGAGACTAAATTATGGTCCTTAAATTGCGTGGAGCTATTTTAGATATTATCGACTGCATTGGACAAATCAAGATGTATTTTTATACTTGTTACACACACACTGAGCACTGACATTTCAGGCATCTCTTTGCTGCTGTCTGGTATAACAACACTCTCTGTTATTCTATTTCGCTTCTTTTCTCCACTGGCCACATCAGGTTTTTCTTAAAGGTGCAATAACAGCTTGGCATCATCAAAATCTCAGTGCCATATTCTGTATATTTTTCTAATTTTTGGTACTCAGAGTTTGCTCAGCCCTGATTTTATTGTGCATGTATTTCTCTGTCTGATCACTTTATAAAGTGTGCTCTTTGACCTTTTTTTGTTGATGATTGTTTCTATTTTTATATTCATGGGTGGTCTTTGTTTTTCTGGATGGCTGGAGTGGTTTGAGCTTCCATCCTTATGCCTTTATGAGAGTTTAACTATGGAACCAACTTACTTCTGCTGTTATAATTACATATTTTATTCTTATAAAACGCCTTCTTAAAGAAACCAGTTTGGGCCCAGATGCCTGTTTCGTTGAGTATGTGGCGTTCCACAATGTGCCTATTGCCACCAGGCATGTTTTGTGATTTACTTACAATGATTTTTGTCTTAATTTCTTGTATGTAATGAGTTTGTGATGCACATTTTCCCCCTTTTTCAATTCATCCGATTTCCTACTGTATGCAAGTAAATTAAAGTCTTAAAGATTTTCTTTTTCAGGGTGATGTCATATTTTGTTCTACATTGACTGATGACATGCACATTGTATTTAAAACTTGGGATCTAAATGGACTGTACAAGACATTGAATAAATACCAGGATCTGAATTTATGCATCGTTGATTTATTTGCTGTGTTTGCATTGAAATCTCATTAAAAGCTCGCAAAATGTTATGTTTTCTATCTGTTGTAAGTTCATTTTGTATAAATTCCATTCCTAGGGAATAAATGCACTGATAAAGTGTATACCTTGAATGCAATGTAAGTCACCCTGGATAAAAGTGTCTGCCAAATGCATAAATATAAATGTTAATATTTTCCACATTCCACTAAAATAATCAGAATGACATTTTATAGTATGATAAAGAATGTTCGTTCATGAATACATTCCGATGTCAAATTCCAAACTCCATTTTAAGACCATTTGGCTGTTACACTAATCTGGCTTTTTAGCGCCACCATATGATTTAATTGAAAGCCCCTTGCTAATATGCATTCAAAATAATGTCTGAGCTCAGGCCTGGGGTCAAAATTAAGATTTAAAACAAAAAAAAATCACATCTTGAATATATTGCACACTAAAACTACAGATTTTTACCTTTTGTTGCATTAGTGTATTGTTCAGTATCATAATCTAAAACGCACTTTCAGCAGAACAAATGGAGAAGTCAGCAAATTATTTCAGAACATTATTTTTTGTTCAATTGGCAAGATGTATCATGAGGCCACTAAACTGCAGTTACTTTGAAAGATCTTCCAGTAAATGCAATAGGTGGGTCAATGACCTTATAGTTCCTGGTTCAGAAATAAACGAAATCTTCTGAAACAACTGAATACAAAATCACTTATATATTGCTTAAAAGACTGGACACACTCTTTATTATTAGCATTACATTACCTTGTGCATATATAGAATAAGAGTGAAGTAGTAACCTGTAAAATAAACACTATTATTTAATTTCTTTGCCATTAATCGTGTTGCTCTCAAAGCCAAGAGTTCATGAAAAGCGGCACAAACTAGACGCAAATGTAATAAGGACCACACCACAAACACATCTGTTTTTAAGACAAATGAAAAAACTAGATTGCAACAAGGTTTGTGGTTGACCTGACATCATGGTTTAAAGGTTTAGTTCACCCAAAAAATGAAAATTCTGTCATTAATTACTCACCCTCATGTCGTTCTAAACCCGTAAGACCTCCGTTCATCTTCGGAACACAAATTAAGCAAAGAAAACAAAAATAACGACTTTATTCAACAATTTGTCTCCTCCGCGGACCGCATCACCCTGGTGCCATTTTGGAGAGTATCCACTGAATGTAAACAGTGTATGCTTTTCTGTGTCAGCTGCCTCACGCGAACGAATGTAAGGATCCTTGCTGTCTATGGGAGGGTCTGAGAGCTCTCAGAATTCATCAACAATATCTTAATTTGTGTTCAGAAGATGAACGGAGGTCTTACGGGTTTAGAACGACATGAGGGTGAGTAATTAGTGACAGAATTTTCATTTTTGGGTGAACTAACCCTTTAATGAAAAAAGCGATCCGAAAATCAATGTGTCATCATTTACTCGCCATAAAGTTGTTCCAAACATGTATGAATTTCTTTCTTCGGCTGAACAAGAAAAGAAGATATTTTGAAGAATGTGGGTAACCAAACAGTTTCTGGTCACCAATGACTTCCATAGGGCTTTTTATGAAAAGTCAATCTATATGGAAGTCAACCAGCAACTTTTTGGTTACCCACATTCTTCAAAATATCTTCTTTTAAATTCAACAGGAGGAGGAAACTCCACAAGTTTTGGTGTGTGTGAATAACAGAATTTTTATTTTTGGGTGAACTATCCCTTTAAAACATGTTAAAAATGAAAGCAATTTCATTATGAAGATATAGAAGAATATAATCAACTTACTGTTTCATCATGCCATTTTGAAAAGTAAGGTTTAAATATAATCTTCTCTAGTATGTCCCCAGTGTTGAATAGCACATGATAATCTGATTAAATATGATGTAAAGTGGTGAAACACTAAAATACAAAATACATCAACCGTAAACTAAAAAATGGCTAAATTAATGCACACAATGAAAAAAAAAAAGACATACAAATACCATTATATTCAAGCTCCAAGCTTGAGTCTTGCATATCAAGCAAAGGCCACTGATTTATTTGCATAGTTATAGCATTCAGATTTACATGCATCTCAGAAGCTATTATCAAGCACATCTCTCACACACACAAACACAATCAAACCGGTAAAATGCTCAAACGCACACGCTAACCACATACACGCGCATAAAACTTTTCCAATAAAGACCCAGTGCTCTGAGGCATTCTGGGCGATCTCCCTTTTAAAGAAGGCACTTTAAAATCAAAAAGACAGTTCTATGGAATAAATACAGTTAAGAGAGGAGCAGCAAATAGAAGAACAAATGTTCACTGTGTCCATCCTAAACATGTACAGAACAGACAAGTACTGCAATACGTTTACAATGAACTGGAATGAAGAAAGTTGAGACAATCAGACAACGACAACCAGCTTTCATATCCTCCCCACCTTTGTAAGTAATGTTTCTCGCACATATAATCTGATCTATATACATGTTGTGTTGGAATGAATGTAGGAATGAATGGACTTCATTGGTGCTGCTCTTCTCTCAGTCGGAGTCTTCATCATCAAGATACTCCTCCGCATTACTGTGGGTCCGCAGAATCACTGCAAATTCAACAGAGAGAGACAGTTAAGTGTGAATCTCTCTCACAGGAAGTGACATCTGAAGGAGGTAACTGAAAGGAGACGCCTTGTGACTCACCTCCTCCCAGTTTCCTCTTCAGCAGAGAGGCACATTGTGCATTGGTGGCCATATCCAGAGCGGTCTTCTTCTCATTGTTAACCACGTCTGTCCTGGCATCTATAACAACACATATGCAATATAAACAATGCAAAAAAATATCAAACATGCAGATACAGATACAAAAAAAAAAAAAAAAATATGTCTTTGT